CTCTTCCTCCATCGCGGTATTCGTCGTAAAGTTGCAGCCGACCGAGCTCCTGTAAAATCCCATTTGATTTCGCCTCTGTTGCTAGAGGCCGGGTCCGCTGCAACGGAAACGGTTGCAGCGGACAAGAGCCGAACAACACAAGCTGCAACGTGCGAAATTGGCCTCCACGGACTGCGAAACTGCTTCTCGTCGACGCGTACACCGGGCGATCGCCGTCGCATATTCAGCGAGCTGTGATTTACCGTTTCCACGTTCGCGTCCACGACGACGATCTCCCCTCGTCGGAAGGAGCATTCCGACGTGGCCGAGCCATAAAGCGGCCCTCGACCGCGAAAAACTTTACTAGCAGAACAGCAGATGCAAATCCGGAGCGCGCGGCTCGAGTTCCCGGTTGCTCGCGGATCGTACCGCGGAAACGACACTTGTACGTCATCGATCATGATTAAGAAAGTCTTGTATGCATTCCGACAGCAAATACTCCGCTAGGCGAAGATTTATCTCGACACTATTGCGCTCCGCGTCGTGATGCAGACGGTGTCTCGTGCACTCGAACAAGATAGTTTGGTCAGGAAACATGAGGCGCTTTATACCGCGAATAATTTGCATACCGCGAGGTAAATTTCCCGTCTTACAGATCACGGTGTAGAAATTCCAAGACTCGTGACAGAGTTTCTAATAACGGATTCACCAGCAAGGGACACTATCGCGATACAGATTCAGGAAGTCTTAATATTACTCGGAAGCCTCTCGAGTCACAAAGCAGCGTTCGGTCACGGATAAACTCGCGTACCGAAATGCAAATTCGGCGCAGAGCCCGAAGCCTCGATTTCTCGTACATTGTTCGCCTGACGTGACACCTGCGCGCCGCGGATCGTGATTGAACTTCGTTCAGGAAGTCTCGCGACTCGGGGGAAGTTATTCTGGTAACGAGCCGTAAAGTAGCGCTCGACCGCAAGAAGTTCGCCAGATGTGAAAGAGGATGCAAATCCGAAGCGAGGTATACAAGTTTCTTAATTTCCGATGGATCACCTCTTCGGAACGATGCTTTCGCGTCGTAGACGGGTAATTAGAAATTAGCGACCCGATGAAAATGCCTCTATAATGAGTCATAAAGCAGCGTTTGACCGCGAAAACGCTATCAACGGCCCGAGGAAATGCAAATTCTAAGCGGATGCCTGTAGTTCTCGACTATCCTCTACAAACCGTTTCGTCGCAGATCATCGGAATCAAGCGACTCGAGAATCGTGACGTCTCTAATAACCGACTACGAGGATTTTGCAGCTAATCGATATGTAAATGATATGTAAATGTATCGATATTATCGGCAACTATTACAATTACTTCGCGCACAATTATTTCTATATAAAACTCTCTTCTATTTTCCATGCGAGAAACATAAAAGAAATTGAAGAGTTAAATATATTTATTTTGATATTATAATTTTTTTTCGCGATTTTGTTTATTGCATGGTTATCAATTATCTATTAATTAGAAAAATTATTTAATGCAAATATAAATAGCGGCACATGTAAAATTTTCGTAAAATGCTGTTTGAAAAATCTTACTCACTGCAATGTCACGTGCAAAGTTGTATTTTGACAGTAATCACGAAAGTAGCTAGAAAACACTCTCTCCGTTAGCACTACGACGTTAATTCGGTCCTATCGTAACTGAGAGTTAGCTCTGTGTCAATCTCGGCGCTTCGAACCTGTTAAAGACGTAACGGATTACTACTGAAGCGTGTATTTCGACATCCGTTCCGGATAATCGCGTGTCCTCGTCCGGCTCGCTTATGGCGACAAAATACCTAAACGGCGCGGCGGTACAAACGGTCCGCCGTAAGCACCGGCAGAAGTACGGAGCTAATAGAGTTTCGAAGTGTATCGTCACGCGAGCTCTAACGAGCTTAAATTTCGGTTTAAATTTGTTCGACGGAACGAAACGTAAACAAAACGAGAGCGTGCGATAGCGTGCACGCGTACATGGCCCGCACGTGTCACCGCGCCGCTCATTCGATGACAACCCTCGTGCGTTTCGCGGGGAACTCTTCCAAGGTTTTTGCGCACGTCGCGTGCGTTTGCGAACGCGTGAACGACAGTCCCCGATATCGCGTTTCTCTCTATCCCCCTTTTTCTCCCTCTTTCTGCCGTCCCTCTCGCCGGGAGAGAGAGAGAGAGAGAGAGATAAAGAGAGAGAGAGAGAGACTAAAATTTATTCCGAATTAAACGTCCAGCGTTACCCACGCCTTTGCAACGGAGCCGCTCGAACGGATAAGCGCATCGCGCGTTGCATACGTATATACGTATATACCTATGTACGCGAGAAGTGCGTCCGCGAGAGAAACCGGTTTCCCGTACGTTTTAATTTCACGCCGACATCGGCGCAATTCAGTTTACACGGATACTCCCCGTTTCCTAACGCGCGCGCCTCGCGAGATTAACGCACCGGTCGTGCGCGCGCGTGCGTTTTCGGGGCGTTGCGCGGGGGTAAAGTGCACCGCGCTCTCTGTATGTACGTGTCGCGTAAAATCTCCGCGAGACCGTTGGAAGATCGCGCTTTAATCCTGCGAAATTCTGCTGCAATTATCTCAATGCGTCATCGCTCCACTGCAATTACCGCTTGTGAGCCAAGATCAAAGTATAGGTAATTATATCGCGAGATGTGTTGAAACGAGTTCTGTCATTTCAAATATCGTCTTTGTTTTGGTCGCCCGGTAAGTTACGAGTCCTTACGCTGTGCACGTAGCGACTGACGGACATTTTTATGAAATTGATATTACTACTATAAATATTATTTGTCCTTTTTCAATGGAATGTCAAGGTCGGCCGTTTATTATCTCGGTAGAAGCACATTGCGACGAATAATGACTTCGTTGTTGTCACTTCTATGATTACTCGCAGATTGTGTTACATGTCACAAAATTGACACCTTTATGAAATACAAGAATACTGGTAATTATTTCAAGAAAGCAAAGCGATGATAAACTTAGTAGAGCACGGTACGAGGAAATATTGGAAAATTATCTCAGAATGTCATTTCAATTTTAATCACTCACATATCGCGTCCGGCGCTACGTGCCGTAGAGAAGAAAAAAATAATTAAGAGGGAAAAAAAGATAATAATTTTATGATACAAAAATGATTTATCGATAATTATCCCGCGAAGTGTCACTTGAGTGATCGGATATTGTGATACATTATCACTTCTCGATTCATAATTTATTCAATTATTAGTTTTTTTTTTAAATTAAATTTTACAAATCGCAATTTAAACGTTTGTATAATTACGTCTGCTCGATTAATATTGAACGTCACGTTTATTAATTATTAGGAAGCATCGTTTAGCGCGTGTTATATTTACGATTTTGTTTAAATATTTTAAACGATCGACATTTTTTACCGCTTTGTAGTTTCACGAAATGTTTCAACTTCCGTTCACAGTGACTGTTCGAGTTTAAACAAACTGCACCATTTTAAACGACGATACAGTCTCAGGTGTGACATCATCGGTCGGAAATCGATCAAGTAGCGGCGTTAAAGTTTCACTGTTTTCTCACTGATCGATGCACACTATCGATTAAAGAACAGTCCATCAATATATTCCGATTTCTCACTCGTTGGTCCAAAGAAAGCGTGATGATCTACGGTGATCCTCGCAGAAATCAGCAGTAAATATAAACTGGAGTAGATTGCGATCACTGCGATGTCGATGAAAAGATTGTCCATTAAGAAATCGTGATTTAGTCAAAAGTGTCGAAATCTCAGATAGCGATATTTACGGAGAAGCGTAGCTACAATTTCAATTCAGTTGCATCGTAATTAGCAACATTTTTGTGCAATAGTTTATCTCAGAACATCATATTTGAAAAAATATGACAGCTGCACAGCCGCTGACTTCGAGTTCAAGTGACAGCGTTTTTTCACCAGGAGAGCATCACTTTCGATAACTTGGATATTTTCAAACAGCTTGAGTCTTTTTTCCAGGAAAATCTTGGATTGAGAAATTATCACTTTGTTGACGCGTAACTCCGATCGCGCTCGTCGCTCCAAATTGCCTCCTCCGATCGGCGGGTCGATCCTTCTCGCGAGAGCAGATCTTCTATTTCTTCTTCTCCTCCTCCTTCGTCGTTTCCGTCCTCTTCGATGTAGCGTCCGACGGGACTCCCATCAGGATTTACATGTTACCGCGCAGGTATTTCACTTCAGGTACCGATATCTCGAACCGTTGCTCCGATGTCGCTTAGCACCACTCACACCAATGTACGAGACACTTTCGATGCACTGTTCGTCGTTCAACTCTCCGCTCTCACTTGTCTTCGTCGTCGTCGTCGTCGTTTTCGTTGTTCCTCCGTTTATTCCGATTTATCACGCGACTGTATTTTATAATCACCGTATAATCACCGTAAAACTGAAGCGTTTTATTTCTTTTATCCGCGGAGACACGAAGAGATTAATGCACGTTGACGTCCGTGTTTAATTTCAGGAATCGATTTACCATCGCGCATAAAGTGAATAGAGGATTATTATGCCTAATTAGACGGAATTGTCGAAGACAATCGTTATATAACGCGGCGACAGTTTGAAAGGTCTCGACTCGCGTCAGCGTTCGCGAAAATATTCTTCGGTATGGATTTCGTCGGGTTATATGTCGGGTGCCAAAGTGCCCGAAGCACTTATTCGCAGAAGATGTCACCGAGGTAATGATCGTTCCTGGCGATCGCTGTCACGTCTGGAGGTAATCCAAAAGTCAAAAACGCGCTCTTCGGCGAGCGTACATCCCGATTCGGAGTGCAGCTGACTTCGTCGCGCGCGCGAAACGTCAACCGCGTGTCTCACCGGCGAGCGTCCAAGTACGATACATCAAAGTCCCGTCGCGTCGTTGTATCGCGCGTGTACTGCGGATGTATTCGCGACGTATCGTCACCTCGCGGCGAAGGAACGACTTCTCGATCGCGGAGCGCGGAAACGTGTCGTGCGTAAATTCGGCGGTGTCAAACTCACCTGCAGTATGTATCCTCGCGTGTAATCCTCGTGGGTCCAACCGAAGGCAGCTAGTATACGTGTCACTTGCGCGGGGGGCAACTGGTTGAACAACTGATCGAGCAAGATCTTAAGGCGTATCGGCAGTGCGCGCGAGCCGTAGAGTACGAGGGATGCGACGTCAAACGCGGCCGTCGGCTCGACAGTCTCTGAAGCCGGTGGCCTCTCCTCCTTCTCCGCGACTTCGCCACCACCACCGACACAACCACCTCCACCACCACCGCCGCCGCCGCCGCCGCCGCCGTTACGATCCCCACCGGGTATACCGCCGCCACCACTACCACTGTCACTGCCACCACCACTACCGCCACCTCCGCCGCCGCCGTCACCTCCACCACCGCTAGCTCCCCCTCCTCCACTTGCTGCACTACCAGTCGCCGGTGCCGTCATCGTCGTCGTTGTCGTCGTCGGCGTCGCCGTCGTCGTCGTCGCCGCCGCCGCCGTCGTCGTCACCGACGCCGGGTGTTTTACCCTCCCTACGACGCTTTTGTCCTCCCTACCAGTAGAGCGAGGGCTGGAGACGACATCCCCACTACCTGCCCCACCACCACCACCACCACCACCGAGCCGCTGCTGTTGTTGAGCATATTGCTGCTGCTGCTGCTGCTGCTGCTGCTGTTGCTGTTGCTGCTGTTGGTGGTGGATGCTTGATAGTCGCGCCAGCGCTGAAACACGAGCAAGTGGAAAAGAGAGAGGTCAGAAAAGAACCTTCTTGCCGGTAGTGCACGCGTGCGTGTGAGCGCGTGTGTATCGGTGGGTGAATGTGGACAAACGTCCTCTGTCGTCCCTTTCCTCTCCCACCATGTCCCCACCCTATCCAGTCCCCCTCGCGTGCCCCACCAGTGTCCCAAGCTCCGGGTACTCCCACCCCCGCACACGTTCTCTCTCGTCTATCTCCGTTCGCGTCGTGTCTCCCTTTCTCGCGGCTCGATTTCTCTTTCTCTCTCACTCCGTCACCCGCGGTCGTCCCCTCGAGCGGACTCGGGTGTCCCCCCCTGTTCCCCCACCGCCGCTCTGTCCTTCTCTCTCCGGTTCTGTCTCCGGTATCGTCGAGGCAACCTAGGGTCGCCGTGGCACCGAGGGTACTTACTTACCCCCATCCGTCCTCGCGACCGGACCTACCGTTCCCCACTCCCAATCGACCCTACTACTAGCACCGCCAGCGCGTCATTTCTACCACTACCATTGCTACTACCACTATCGTTTTACTACTACCACACCGTCGTCAGTCCGGTACCACCACTAGTGCCGTGCCACCACTGTACGTCAAGTATACGAGGACGACCGCGATGAGTCGCGCGGCGTATCCCCCTCCACCCGGATTTTCTCATGAGACTCCGGCATCCATCAACCTGCTGCTGCCGCCGCCGTCGTACCGTCTCGACTTGTACGAGGACCATCCGCACGCTACTGGCGCGGCGCGGCGAGAAGAGAACAGTATTCGCAGGTATCCTCGCAACGCGATGTTGATCGCTCGATTTCGTAGCGTGCCCCCCGAGATTATAGGGCTTTCCCCCCCGAACTTGGTAAAAAAAATCGATTACATATGCTTTTCCCTCGTCACCAGATTGAAATAATGAAAATTACATATGTTACGCAAATAAGTACATGGTTTATAATGTTTCATCATTGCTCAAGACGTGTATAATCAGGTGGAACTCAATTTGTTTCAAACTGTACGACTGAGATTAAAGCGAGATGCATAATGCACTCCGTTCTATACACACGTATATATGATACTATCCAGAACTTAATACGGGCTACTTTGTAGTGCAGTTGTGCGGATAATCCGATTCGAGTTGCACTTTGATATTCGAGGAGAAAGTTGATGTTGCGAAGGTGGTGGACGGTCATAAGTAGTTCGATGCAAGGTGCGTTGTACAAATGAACTCTCAGTTCGTAATCGAACAGTAATACATGTTCATTTGTGATCAAATAAAAAAAAATCTCGAGAAAAGAATATATATTTTTTTCTTTTATTTTTCTATCAATTATATAGTTAGGTTATTATCACCGTTACAAACATTTCGAGATTTTCATATTATAAAACGAGTAATTATAGTAGAAGAACTGCGTGTATAACGGTTAATTAACTATTCTACGAATGTTTATGTAACAACGGACTCACAAAGTTCCTTATTCAGAAATGACTTTAAAGAAAATACTAATTTAACGTAACATTGCTGTCCTGCACGTTGCCGCGAAAGGGAGCGAACAACGAGACACGCAGAAATTCACGCAAAAATCACCGACAGCGCGTCGTGAATTCCAATAGAATTATTACATCGCGATACGGTTATTTATTGATAGTCTGACGCCATTGAATCACGATTCCTTGCCGCGGCGTTATCGAAAGTATGCGCGCGTGAGCACCGATACGTGGGATGCATTTTGTATTAACTATCCCCCCCTCGCCGCCCACCCCCTCGTCCTTAAATTAATAATCGTAGTTCACGATACGAACGTGAGATCGGACGGTTGATAAATCGCGTACAATAAACGCCGGATAAACGTATGACAAATCGACGTATCGTATCGTCGTGAAATCGATATAAGCATCGCCACGGAGATTTATTGTTACCTTGGGTGCAACGTTCCTTAATGAGGCAAAAGAGCGGATCATCGGCCGTTCGTCGCCTCGGTACGCGCTTCGCGCGCGCTACGGTATCGCGTTATGGCAATCGTGGCCGGAAATCGCGCGCTCCGTGTGCGCACTTACAAAAAAGGAGGGGAAAAATAAAAACGTCGACGCTTTCTTGGACACGGTGTCGAACGTAGTAGCGACGCAGGTTGTGTGCGCACGCTCATCGTTGTCGTCTCGTCGTGGGGAACACCCATCCAATACCAACAGGGACCGGCGCGGCGGCGGACGCTTTCCCTCTAAGAACCGTCACGCTTTTCGCACCTGACGATTACTATCTCGGGACACGAAAGTTTATGGATCTCCTTATAGCCCCGACGGACTTAGCCGCGGACTCGCAGATCGTATCGCGGATCTGCTGCGGCGCGGCGGCCGTTGTGTTTCGCATACGACGAAAACGCTAATCGAACGTGTTGCGCGCTAATGCTTTTCTCCTATCTGCCCCCTCGCCGCTCTTCATCAATCTGCGAGCTCCGCACTTGCCGGACGGGACGATCGAGAGTGTCCATCGGTGTGGTGCGATTGATATTCGCCGCACGTGAATGAACGATAAGAGATTGGAGTAACGCGGTTATTTTTTTAGGAAGGATATCGCGATCGTTCATCCTTTGTCAAAATTGTGATGCGTCTAATAGACTTGAACAAATGTAAAGTTTGTTTATTCTTTCACGATCTGAGTCAGAGTCATTTTTTAAGAATTGGATTATTAAATATTTCTACAATTTGCTAATTAAATTAAATCTGTGGAATTTTACAGAAATAAAACTTGTACGTGAAATTAGAAGAAAAATGATAAAATCGTTGACAAAGGAGAAAAAAAAAGAAAAAACTTTACAAGTCCGTGGTTTTCTTTTTAATCGGGTAAACAAACTTAATTTATATGAAAGTTTTATTGCGATTTGAAATCTTAAGCAGATATTAAAATCGCTTCAGACGATAATGACTCGGAAAGTATTTTTCTTTCTCTTCGAGGATTTCGGGAAAATCGATAAACTCATTGCGTGTCGACGAGAAAGTCGTCGCAGGCCGTGATCCATTACATGTTTTCTTTCTGTGCGATCGATAAGATTTGAGAAGGCGTTGTGTTCCATTCGGCAACGATGGACCTTTGCCAGCGCGATTGTCGTTATAGGTGCCATATCGAGGGGATCCCCGCGAGCGGTCCCGACCCTCGCGGCTGGGCCCAGCGTGGGGTCAATAAAAACTAAGGAGTCATCGCGATTGGGCGCCACTTGTCATTAATGACTATCCGGTTTTTCGATTTAATTAAACGGCGATGACGATCTTGCCACCTAAATGCCGTGGGCGCGACCAGCAAACGAGCCGCACCGTCATTTAAAACGAGAGATCGCGACTAGATAAAGATAAAGACCAGAATAATGATCCTTTCGCCGCTCTAAATGTATACGAAAATGAAAATCGCTCGACGATTGTCGATATCGATGTCGGTTTCGCGTTCAGCTTTAAATAAAATCATTAATTAGAGGAGCGGATCCGTATTTCAACGGTGTAATCGATAATCCGTATATTGCGCGCACAAGATACCGCAGGAGCACCACAGTGCCGCTGAATTACACATACATAACCGCGCGGAGAAGCGCGGGCGGGATATACGTTGAATATAAAAACAAATCGCGTCAGTCGGTGGCGTACGAAATCGCATTTCCCGCGGCAGTGATAAACAAAACAGAATTATCTACGGATCGTCGCTATTTACCTGATCCTTGTTTTATTTCCCCTGACAGGCGCGCGTTGTTTTTTGCGTAATACCGGTGCACGCGGTCGAAGCCGGATTCGCGGGCATGTGTGTGCGGTGTGCGTGCGCGCGTGTTTTGCGTGTGTACGCACGCGTGTGTCAACGAATTTTTCCGCGAGCACGTCCGCGTATCGAGGGGACGGTAATCCGATACCGAACGACGTCCCCGCGTACGTTTGATTTGCGCGATATAAATGAAAATTAAACGGATCGCCGTTCGCTTTTGTTCGCGGTTAAATTAACGGGTCCGAAAAATTTGCATCTTCACGATCATCGTGTGTCATATCTACGTTATGTATTTTAATTCGCTGAGGATATGAGAAAATATAATTTTTGAACGTTTTTTTTTTTTAAGACAAGATTTAGTAGTATCAGTATATATTATGTTATCTAATTAAGAATGTATTAATTTTAGATTTTCTATTCTTCGATTTTTTGTTCTCCTAGTCTAGAGTTCAAAAAACTCGTGACATTTTTCCAATTAATTTTCGCGTGACATCAAACGAGAGCGTGTCCTTCATTCTGCCGATTCCAGTCCAAATAACAGAGGGGAAAATGCGCGAATCAAGAAAAATCGCCCGAGGCTGTCTAATCCTATTTCCCGAAGCGACGCCGACGCGATGGACGAAGTCGACGAATTATATCCGCCGTTATTTACTTAGTTTCTCGTTTTTTCTCTCCACATGTTACATTTCCATTTTTCCATAGTTTCGAATCTCAGAAAATTTTTCAAAAGCTACTCTTTTACAGTTTTATTACATCACACGAATAATACAACAAAATCAATTCTAACGATTAATCATCTAACGACAGGATTGCTGTTTCCGCACGATGGATATCAATATCGTGATCGTTGAGATACGCTTGCTCTTGAGTAAAATCTATTCCCAGACAAACACGATTACACCGTCGATATGAATGCCCCCGCAGTATTTCCCCAACTACTCGAGAAACCGATGCTTCTGGCGGATGCCCTTCGACATTTTCGCGAACGAAAAGTCCACACCGCCGCGACTATATCGACAGTTTTTTTTTAACCGACGTATACCATCCCGCGGTGTTTACGGGGGCGGCTTTCGACCCTTTTCGAAAACCGAAAGCCTGACGGTCGGTCGATCCCGGGCGCACCCGGCTACGGAATGGAGATTCGAGTTTGTACGTGCATGTGTATGCATACATATATAGATATATATTTTATATAGATACATGTATATGTGTACGTATGTATATATCTGTATGCATGTATAACCGCACGAGGACGTCCATAG